GCTGGGGATTTGTGTACCTCTGTTCACTGGGGACACTGGTCTATAAATTTTTATTACCTCTATTGTCACTGTCAAGTGTTGGTACCAGAGTGACAGATACAGGCTGCCGAAAGTGATTGGAAAGTGGTCCTCCCTCCTTTATGTTCTGAAAGCATAAGTGTAGATTTGATATTTCTTCTACAAAAATCAGATAGAATTTACCACTGGAACCAGTTTTCATTGTGGGGAAGGCTTTTGATAATGAATTCCATTTCTTTCATAGCTATGGGCACTCAGATTTTCTATTTCATCAGGAGTCAATTTTTTGATTATTAGTCCTCTGAGAAGTGAACAGGAGGTTTACTTGGAGACTAGGTAATACCTGTGAAACCTCAAGGAGCAGAAAGCAGGATTAGATGAGGCCGATCTGATGTCTGTGAGAGGAACAGAGAAGGGAAGTAGATGCAGATCTGATAAAGTCTCAGTTGACTAGATAGGAACTCCAAAACCAACATTGCCTTTGGAGGATCCCACAGTGAGCAGAAATGGCCAGAGTCTGGGACCTTCTCCATGCTGACCCACTGGAGACTGCATGATAAGGGTTCAGTCTTGACATGGATCTTGCATGTGCTCTAGCTAGAAGCTACTAGCTAACTGCTTTCCTGGTCGTTGAGCCAATAAGATCTTTCATGAAGAGAGTTCAAAGCATCTGTTTCCATAGTTAATATATTTAGTAACTTCTGTTTCCCAAAGCCTTTGTCCATTTCATCTAAAAATTAAAATTTTCTGGCATAAAGTTATTCACAATAACATTTTTTTTTCTTTTTTGCTGCTAATGTCAGTAGGATCTATAGTGATATACCTCTCTTATTCCTAGTGTTGATATCTGGATTTCTTTTTTTTTTCTTTCCCCTAAAAAAGTTTGCAAAGTAACTTGAGTTTGACTTTTAATTTTCTCTACTATTTGTTTCTTTTCTATTTCACTGATCGCATCTATTTTTATTCTCTCTTTTTTTTACTTACTTAGTTCACATTCTTTCCCCGGCTTCCTAAGCTGAAATTTAGACCACTGATTTTTTAAATCTTTATTCTTCCCCAATATAAGCATTTAAGCCTATAAGTTTCCCTCAAACCACTGATTTAGATTCATCACAAATTCTGGTGTATGTTTTTATTTTCAACACTATCCAGTTAAAAATATTTGGTAATTCAACTAGGTTGTTCCTTGACTCTCAGGTAATGATGCCAAACATCTGGGAATTTTCAGCTATATGATTGTTACTGATTTCTAATATAATTTCCTTGTGATCCAAGAACATGACTTATATAGTTTCAATCATTCGTAAATTGATTGTCAAGCATATGATCTTTTTGCCAGAGCCTTCAAAAGAATATATATTTTTGCTATTGTTGGGTATGATGCTCTAAAAATGGCAATGAAGACCTTCAACAGTATTAATCAGATCTTCTATACCCTTATTGATTTTGCGTAATTTTCCTATCAGTTAAGAGACAGTGGCATTAAAATATTCAGCAAGGATTATGGGTTTGTCCATTTTCCTTTTTGACGATCAGTTCCTGTTTTGTGTATTTAGAATCCTGATTATTAGGTGCGTATGAATTTAACATTTTCATTTTCCTAGTGAATTGACCAATTTTTATTATGTATACCACTTCATCTCTGATATCACATTATCTTTAAATCTTATTCTACCTGATATTAATAAAACTACTTAACTTTGTCATTAGCATTTGCATGGTATGTTTTTCCATCCTTTTATTTTCAAGCAAGACATGTGTCTATGTGTCCATGTAAGCAGCATATAGCTGAGATCATGCATTTTGTTTTCTGTGGGTTTTTTTTTGCTGGGGGTGGGGGTGGGGGTGGGGTTCTGACAAGCTAACCCTTTTAACTAATGTGCTTAGTCCTCTTACGTTTATGAACTGAGGTGATTACATTTAAGCCAATCGATTTGTTATTCATTTTTTTATCTTTCCTAACTACGTCTTATGCTCTAGTTCTCTTTTCCTACCTTCAACTGGGCTAATTAAATATTTTTAAACTGGTCTCTTTTATATCCACATCCTTTGTGCTACTTTTGTCATGTATTTTACAACTCCACACATTATAAACCCTGTTAAACAATACTGTAACTTTAGTTTTATGTTATGTGTCTTTTAAAGAAGTCTAAGAAAAAGAAAGAAAAGTGTGCTTTGTCTTTTATACTTATCCACTCATTTACAGTTTCCAGGTTTCTTCACACTCTACTAATAGAACCTAATTTCTAGGTAGTATCAAGTCCATTCAGTCTGAAAACCTTGCTTCATACCTCTTGCAATATAGATCTGCTGACAATGAACTGTCTTCATTTTCCTTCATCTAAAAGTGTTTTTAGTTCACCATTATTTCCAGAGAGAGTTTTTCTAGTTATAGAATTCTGGCTGACAAGCTCTTTTTCTTTTTTTCAGCATTGATTGTTAAGAGGTCCTTCTAGCCTCCATTATTTCCAGTAAAAAAGTCAGCCTTTATTCTTGTTTTCAAACTTATGTCGTTATTTTCATTAATAATTTTTTTTCTCTGACTGCTTTCATTTTATCTTTGGAATTCAAAAGTCTGACTATTATCTTTTGAGGTAGAGTTTCCTTTGTATTTATCCCTCTTGGGGGTGCACAGAGCTCCTTAGATCTGTTAATTTATGAATTTCAGCAAACTAAATTGTTTTTATATAATTGTTTCCTCAAATATTTTTCTTCCCACTCTCATTCCTCTCCTGTTGGGACTTCAGTTAATTATATTTTAGGTCACTTCTTGTTATCTCATAGGTCAAATACTCACTATTTTATCTATTTTCTCATATATGTATATATCTTCAAAGTTACTGACTCTTTTTCTGCCACCTTCAATCTTTATATAATGAATTTTTCATTCTAACTCTTTTACTTTCCAGTTTTAAAATTTACATTTGCTTATTTTTATGTTTTTTTGTTTCTCTGATGTTTTAATAACCTTAGTCTCTGTTAAGGTTTCCTAAATGTGCATTCATTATACAGACACTTTTCTTTGGTCTTTTAACATATTTTTAAAAGTTGTTTTAAAATTTTCATCTGCTAAATCCAACACCTAATGTTGGAGTTCTTACAGTCAATTTCTATTATCTGCCTTTTTCATTTTCTTTAACTGTAGGTCATGCTTTCCTATTTCTTTGTATACATAGTAAATTTTTTAGTATACTGCATATTGTGGATAAAACATTGTCAAGGCTCAGAATTCAGTTTGGTTCCTCTAAAAAGAGTGTTGATTTTGTTCTAGCAAGAGGTTACTCAAACTCCAAATTGTGCAGTGAGTGACTCACATCTCTGTTCAATTCTTTAAGTTTCTAGTCATTCATTTTACGGGGCCCTCTGGGTTTCCACAGATGTATGTACATTCATGTTTCCATAATCAGTAATATATCTCAGCAGAATTTATATGTAGATGTTTGGTTTTACACAATAAGAGCTTCCTTTCTTTCATGGATTCTCTTTACTGATCAAGCTACTCTTCCGGTTCCAAACTAGTCATTTACCAATGCCAGGGATTTCTGCCACCCCTTGCTACATGGATGAGCAAGTGATCTGGGGCAAAAAGCAGCAAATACACAAATCCCATTCAAGGCTCATCTGTTCTGTCAAGGGATGCCTTCCTTCTACTTTCTGCCTTGCTATCTGGTGCCTTCAATTGGTTGTTTTTAGATGTTCTGTCCACAATATTTAGCCATGATATAGTATCTGTATTTGTGTTCATCTGATTCTCTGATCATTGATTTCTGTCCATGACTGATAAATGGATCACAAACTGTTCAGCATCCCTACATACCAGTCAACTAAAACTATTGGCTGGCAAATTTTTAAGAAATTATTTCAGCTTTAGCTCCTCAAATGCCTCTACATTATCAAATTATATGAGGTTGATGGAGAGAAAAAAAGACTTTCATCCTACCTCTACCATCTGATTTTAACCACCGCATTAAGGAAAGAATGCTAATTTGTACTATGTGGTGGATATAAGGGTGGGTAAGAAGCAGTGGGTGTAACATTGAGATTATGACCAAGATAAATGCTCATAAAAGTGGTTTCTACTGCCTTTACCATTAAGTGTTTCTACTATATTAAAAATGTATGCCAAAATAAAATTTGGCTTTACCCTAGAAATGCACTTTATTAGAATTTAATAAACACAAGAGTTCCTGTAACTCATCCTCTTTCTATGTGGGAAGAGTGGGGGAAGGTGAACCCCCTGAGCTCAGTATCACACTAGAGTACATTGAAGGTGCTAAGGATTTTGTCTGAGGGCTTGAGAAATAAGGTCCACATTTTGAGGTGCTGTTCAGTGTTCCTTCTCAAATTGAAATTATCTTGAAATTTCTCAAATTGAAATTAACACTTGGGTTCCAGGGAAATCTGTTCAGCCTACTTAATAGAGTTTCTTAGATCCTATTTGGACTCACCTTGATTAGAGAGTAAGAAAGCCACTCGAGGGGGAAGACTCAGATCTCCAGACACAATTTGCAGGCATTCCACTTAATACATAGATAATCGAGCACTTTCTCAAGACCCAGAGCAAATAATTTTCATTCCACAGATCAGTCCTGAATATTTTTTTAATGTGGATCTTTTTCTTTCTGAGCCATTGAAAAAAATCAAAGACTTTTAACTTTGAACATCACATAGGCCACAAAAAAAGAGAGTTTTGTTTAAAGTAATGCATAAAATTATGCTCAGTATTGCTCCAGGAGAAGGAAAGCAATCCTGATGTGATCATTTAGTGGTTCTAAACCTAAAATGCCCTTTCTACTACAAAGGCAAAAGAGAAGGAAAATAAATTTTTAAAGAACCTGTTTATAAGAACATCAAACAGAAAGAAAAAAATCATTTACTCAGAATATCTAGCTGCATAGTTATGAAGATAGGGGACAGGGCTTAATTATACAAAGAAAAAGGAAGTATAAAATTATCCGTATGAATTGATTACATATTCTTACCAAGGCTTCATAATCTTCTGCAATTTCTGGTATCGCCTGCAAAATTTAAAAAAAACAACCATGTGAGAAGCATGTTTGAAAGCCATGATTTTTACACAAATAATATATATTAAAGAAAACTCAAGAATAGCTGGGCATGGTGGTGTGTGTTTGTAATCTCAGTGACTGAAGGCTGAGGCAGAAGGATGGCAAGTTCTAGGCCAGCCTCAGCAATTTTGAGAGACCCAAAATAAAAAGGGCTGGGGATTTGGCTCAATAGCAGAATGCATCATTTGGGTTAGATCTTTAGTACTGAGAGAGAGAGAGAGAGAGAGAGAGAGAGAGAGAAGAAAACTACACATCGGATATAGGACAGAGAATCTATTGCCAAGAAAAGCCATTTTATCCATTTTAAAACATTATTCAAAATAATAAATTAGTATTCTTTAATGATAAGAGGCAATCAAAAGATCAGGATTAAACTACTCTCAAAACTCACTGCATTGAGGTATTGCTAAAGACAATGAAAACACTCTCTTTGGATCAGAATGGGTCTGTTCAATGGTGACCCTTAGGGATAAGAATGCCTACATTTGCAATGAAAAAAGTTAAGCCCAAAAGTACTGGACTAAAAAGAAACAATTTATTATCCTTCATGGTAAAATATCCACTAATTGTACTTTTTCTTCAAAATGTGTGCCTCTTCTGAGGGAAGACACTTCAATTCCTATAATGAGAAATTGTGTCAGACACCAAGATCAAAACTCTGGGAAGAAACCTGCAATGGGTAAACCTGGCTACAACAAGGGACAAGGTACTTAAACAAACCAACAAACGAAAAAATCTTGAGGGTACCTGAGTTTCAACAAGATAAGGAAACCAGAGATTCTATTCTGATCAAACCACTTTCCATTCCTCACACCTGCCAGAAGTCTAGCTTTAAATCTGTTGTCTAGCTGTATTAAGGATCCTTCTGTTCCTTCCAACTAGTCATCTCCTATCCCCAAACTCACCCTAGGCTCCTGTGGAGAGCCTCCCTGACCTTGCATTACCCTAATTCAGACTGCAGGGGGCACCAGTGTCTGCACACCACAGGCCATAGGATATCTCACTACCCTGGTTCCCTGAAGGCCAGGGATCTTTACCATAACTGGCATAACATCAGACACACACAGAGTAGGTACTCAATAAACCGTTGGTGCATGATTCTGTTCTGAAGGCTTCACATTCTCAATCACATAAAATATAACTCCTTCAACAACTAAAATAGCTGCATGAAGACTAAAATCTAGTGTTTTGTAAAACGATGAAAAAAGGTATATAAGAAGATTTTTTTTTCTCTTTCTTCCCTTCCACTCTTTTGACTGCTTTTCTTTTAAAATATTTATTGTTTTTCTTCCTTCCTTCCTTCATCAAAAAACAAATGGCAGAGGGAAAAAAAATAGGTAACCAGGGGCCGGCCGGCTGGCCTGAGCAGAAGCTGGGGACATTTGCAAAGCCAAACACAAATTTCCACTAAAAGGAACTAGGGGTCCTTGGAGAAATGGCTCATGCCAAGGCCGAGGAAAGGAAAGATCTAAATATGCTAGGAACATCTGATTGAGCCAGAAAGCAAAGAAATGCTCAACAAATGATGGGGAAATGGTCAAAAGGACACAGAATCTAGGTTGAAGGAGCTCCTGCCAGCCACATCTGGGACAAGATGAGTATCCCAAAAGTCATAGTACTGATAGATGATAGCCACCGAATAAAACAGAACAAATGAGTCCATTTATTATCAAGTGATATGTTGATAAAGTTTCAGAACAAAAGTCCTGGGGGGGGGGACACAGAAATCTGATGTGTATCACTTTCCAATGTCTACGATGTCACTATTTTTACCATGGCTGATTTAAAGTACCAACATGACATCTGTGAGCATGAAGCTGGGAAGAGTTGCTGTGCAAAAGCAATACTATTATTGGATGTTGTACAAGCCAGCACTAGCACTCCACTGGCAATCAATATACAAATGAATAGAAACATAGGAGAATGTAGGTCTCTTCCAACAGAGAAGAGGCAACTAGAAAATGAAGAAAAAAATGATAACATCAGAAAAGTCTCCTTTGGAAATTATAATAATAAGAAGTAAGCTAAATAAGAAAATTAGTGTCAAAACTGGTGGGTGAAATTGGGATGAGGAATTGGATTTTACATGGTTTCCAAGTTATCTCCCTACAAATTATTCATAAATTAATTGCAAAAGGTTGGTGGTAAATGTTACAATGAAGACAACTGAAGATGTTCTGAATCAAGTGGTCAAAGTGAATGTGATTATGACAAAGAGACACCACAGGCCAACAATAGCATACAATGAAAAACAAAAACAAAATCATCTGCATCAGTGAAATTCCAATCGAGAATACATAATACAGACTCAATCATGAGAACACATTAGACAAACCTGCCCCCCGCAAAAACATGTGGAGTTCAATGGAAAACTGTGCAGACTATATACATACCCTTCTGGGTTATCAGATTCTGGCTCCGTGCTGCCTTTGAGCTATTTTATAACTCTTGCAAGCCATAGGTAACTAATGGATATATATTTTTGTCCTGTCTGGTAGTGATTTAATTGGCTTCCTCCCTGCTGGTGGAAAACCAGTTTGGTCTCCATTTGCAATTCATCTCAACATTCCTTTGCTCCATATAAATTTGTTCTCTTTTGACTTTTCCCTTTGAAACGATTATACCATCTGCTGGTCCCCTCATATCATATGGGTAAAATTAATTCTTTTAACACATGTCCATTTGTACATCTGTAAGAAAGTCCTAGGTTTACCTTTCCCTGAAAAGGATCCATATCCAATTACCTTTTAACAAATCCAACTGGAGGACAGGCTAACTAGATTGCTAACCTATAATCTTAAAAAAATGTCAAAGTTGTGGAAGAACAGGGTGGAAGGTGCTGCCGGGAGATATATCCTTTATATTAAAAGATGCAATCAGGACAACAGGAAAAAAAAAACTGAGTGACATCTCTCTAGGTAAAGGACAAATGAGAGTTCTCTATCTTGCAACTTTTCTGCAAGTTAGAAACTATTTTGAAATAAAATGTGTGCACATGCATGAGATATATTAAGTAGTCACTGCAAAGCTTCAAAATAACTTTCTGGCTGGGGGCCCAAGCAACTTCAGGTTTTTCATGCATTCCACCTTGACTAGTGACTCAGTCAGTCCTGGATATTTCTCCCAGACCAGAGTGCAAAAAAATACCTGGGCCAAGTCAATATTCCTCACATCTCTATTTGTGCACCCTCACTTTATTTAGATTCTACAGAAGAAAGGAAGTGGTTTTTTGTTGTGATATGTGTCTGTTGTTCTAACTGGGATACTCTCTCCCTCCCAGGATATTCTTTTATTTATTTATTTATTTTTAAAGAAATGTGAGAACAGAAATGGTTCCTGGAAAGGCTAAGGTTTCACAGTGGCCAGAAACCTCTTGCCCCAGCCCAAGGAATGGTATTCTCTGCATTAGCAGAAGATAATCTCTTCTTGAAACTGGCCTTGTGACCCCTTCTCATTTCCATTACCAGTGAGATTGACAAAGACCCAGAGAGAAAGCAAAGGCTGGTGAGGAGGGGGTAGATCCTGTTTAAGGAATTTTCTGAAGTTGGCCTCTGAGGCCTTTGTGATGCAAATTCTTAGCTGGGCCCCAAAAGGGCTATTCCAGTTGGGACTCCCTTAGATATGCAGAGAAAAGCCACAAGAAAAAAAAAAAAGTAGAGAGAGCTGGAAAGACCAGACAGTCCTTCAGCTGGGGCTGACTGCAGAAACCACATGGAGCAGGCTTCTTTCTGGCTCAATCTGGGAGCTTGTTTGCTACTCCCAGTGGTCTCTGAGGAGGTGAAACTTTCTAGGTATGAGCAGGGCTGAAGCTGCTAGGCTCAGTAGTTGGCTGATCCATCTGGCCTGGCCTGGACCTCCCAGAACAGCCTGAACTTACAAATACACCAGGTTCTCAGAAGCAATGGTATGAGTTGAAACTGACAATCTGACTGTAGCATTTAAGTTTATTTCAAAAACAGAAATTCACCTTTTGGGTGAAGACACAAATAGTCAGAACTATCATATGCATCTCTGTATTCTTCCCACATACCTCCCTCTACCCCTCACAGGCCTAGCCCAGTGTCAGAAATACTGCTCAGCACTAAGAACATATGCTTTGCTCAATGAATAAAACTACAAACCCATTTTCAAGTGTGAGTGCGAAGCAACAAAGCTACAGCAGCATGCAGCATGTGTTAAGTGCCACCTCAAGTTTCACAATACCTAAAAACTGGAAACAGCTATGTTTCATGTAAAGAAAAGAAAATTCGAATAATGAAAGTTTAACATGAGACTATTCTTGTGTTGTAATGACAACAATCTTTATACACACATGCAATATACCTATATATAGCATCAGTCTTCTGAAACATATGTGACAGAGTGGATGGGGGCTAATTATTTACACAATTAGTGTTGTTCCTTTTGAAGACAATTACTTAAGGATTTTCTCTATCACTAAAATAATTACAAGACTCTTTTACACTATTCCTGACTCAGCCAAACTTTGGAGAAATGACCTCAATCAAACAAATAAATCAGCACTTATATATTCCCTAGATGAATGAGAACTCCTCAAACACCTCCCTGCTGTTTTTCCTCAAAAAACTAGAAAATCTGTAGGAATTCCAGCCCAGTATTGATCAGGGTATTAGAAATGGATATATTCTTATACAAATGGGAAAGTACAAATTAGAACATTCTGGCAAGCTCCTAGGCTGTTCTGATTTTAAAACAGCTTTAAAATGTAGATATTCTCTGAGTCAAGAATTTTAATCCAACAAAATAATTTCAACAGTCACTCAGATTTTGCTAAAAGGAACACTGACTTGAGGATATTCAGAAAACACCCTGAAAACGATATAAAGACCCTAGGAGAAGGGGACTAGTTAACTCTAGTGTGTACATACTTCCAATTATATTATGTATCAGCTGTACCTCAACAAAGCTGTAAAATGAAATAACATGCAGGCAATGTAGGCAATAAAGATGGAAAGAGTAATATTTAATGATATGAGTCTATTGTTAGATATAAAAAGCAGGTAGGTTATAAAGAGTATGAATATTATAACTCTATTTTTATAAATTCTGTGCCTAACTGTGGATTTAAAAGGATATATGTTAAGGATATACACCAAGATATCAAACACGCTTGTCTGTGGAAGAGGAAATGACAGATTATTCATGATTATTTTCCTTCTGTTTATTTACATATTCTTAACAATAAATCTGATCTTGTGTTAAGGAATAAAGGTTAATTTTTAAAAGACTGTCCAAGTTCTTTGGAAATCCATGGATTTCAACTTCCTCTCTGTGGATACCACTGCCCAGGGCGGTGCCAGAGCTCACTCATATCCCATCCGCATCATTCTCTCATCACGTTGCCAAGCGGGAAGGAAACTGCTAGTGCTCTGCCCTTTGGTTCTTGGACAGGTTCCACTGTTCTCTGCCCTCAGTGATGACTGGCCATATAACAGGACAGGGCACAGAGTAAACTGCCCAATTATCTGTGTGCATGGAGGCACAAAGAATGTCAAGCTGTGTTAAAACCCAAAGAACAGACAGAAACTTGAAGTTGCAGGTAAAAATAAATAAATAAATAAATAAATAAAATTCAAATCAAATATATCATTTCTGAAAATGTTTTGATAGCCATCTCTTTTTTTGAAACACTGTACATTCCTTCATATTCCTCACCTTGCTTTGATGGAACAAGTTTCCACACTTTGTTTCCCCACCTGTTTCAATCAGAAACTAGGAATGGGATTTCGAAATTCCACAAGGATGGAAAAATTGAATTCAGGCTTTCAGCACTTTCAGTACCATGCTCTGCCAAAAGGATACTTCCCGGTTGCTCCTTGCTGGCTGATTTGGTCCCTTGGCCCTCCTGGTGCCAGCGGGAGAGAGACTTTGAAAGCATAGCCTTAGGTCATGAAAAGCAGGTAAGAAATCTCTGAATCTCATTATTATTAAAAGTAAGGAGAAAACTGCCAGCTGTGTGTCTTCAGTGTTTCCTAAAAATTTCCACAGGTCCAGCTTGGGAAGTCTCCACCTTCCCCAGCTGACATCTGCCCAGGAGTCATGACTAACTGCCTTCCTGACTGCAGAATCTAGTAAATTCTTATGTTTTTTTTTTTTTATTCTGAAGGTTTCCTACCAATTAATTAAGATGTCAGTGGAAGTTTAATTGAAAAGCCAGGTTTCCTTATGAGAAAAGCATCTTTCTCTTTTCTTTTTTAATCTGAGCAAGAGATCAGAAAAACGAGCCATCTCTTGGAATGAGATGTAGCCCTGGCAGAAGGAAGAGACCTCAGGATCCATCCCTCAAAAGCAGCATCATTCTGAAATTAGGTAAAACAGGGAGAAGACATCAAAGGTGACCCAGAGAGATGTCCTCATTCCTTCCCACAAACAGAATGTGATTGTGAGAGAAATATGCAAAACAGAATTTGTCCAAGATCTGGTGTTGTGCTCTGTTTGCCAATCTAGAACATGGACAGATGTATGGAACTGCAATTGCAATGGTTTGCTGATGAGGATAAATAGTTAAAATGTTAACACGCTAACAGGTGGAATGGTATGATTGACATAAGAAAATTGAAGATTGACATTCTCTCATGCTGTACGTGTACAACATGAAAACCTGAGTCAGATCTGCTCTCCACAGACCCCAGATCCTGGGTCTCAGGGATGGTGAGCTTTGAGGCAGCTCTATAGGTTGAGATGAGTTATAAGATAAAACAACAGGGCTGATAGAAAGTAAGAATGTCAACAAGACAAATGTACATTATGAATTTGTACTGTTTTTCTTTTAAAACCAAAGTAGAAGTGTGACTTTGGTAAGAGTCATGGTCTGAATTCACGTTGATGCTCTAAGCTTTAGTACTTCAGGATGGGACTGTATTTGGAGATGGGACATTGAAAGAGGTGATTAAATTCAAATTCGGCCCTTAGGAAGTCTGCCCTAATCCAATTCTACCAGTATCCCTTTAAGAGGAGAAACGTTTGTACACAAAGAGCCCCTGGTTCACATGCACACAGGGAAGCCCATATGAAGACACAGGGAGAAGGCAGCCACCTGCAAGTCTCAGAGGAAGATCTCAGAAGAAGCGAACTCTGGGGATCCCTTGACCTTGAACTTCCAACCTCCAGAATGGTGAGAAAAAATGTGTGTGATTTAAGTCACCAGTTTGTGACACTGTGCTATGGCATCCTTAGCAGACTAATGCAATGAGATTGTGAAAAAGGAAAGCAAGCCCCCAGCCCTGTAACAACATCTTCTTTGTCAAAATACACAACTGCCAGTCTCTGGCGCCACTGAAACTCACCACACTCCTGCGCTCCACATGCATGTCACGCAGACCCCTGCTTCCATGTCTTTATTATTAAAACTGTAATTATTATGGCTACTCTTTTAAACTCAGAAGTATTTACACAGTATCACTACGAATATTCGAGTCCCTGGATACCTAGGCATCTGTCGCAGAGCCACCTACAATGAACAGCTGTCATTCCACCTGGCACACTGCCCTTGACATAGCAGTGACTGATACTTAGGTGAATCCATAAATGTGGTAACATTTTTCTATTTTAGTAAATGTCCCTGAGGCTGAAGCCCCAAGGGTCACTGTCCACCCGGCAGTGGTAGGCAGGCAGCGCAGGTTACCACAACTGGCAGCACCTGCAGTAATCCTCAATCAACAGGGAAGGTATTTATAACCACGGCTCCTACTCCTCCTCTGTGCACTAGAAACAAGGATGAAAGGGCTGACACTCTAGGTTTCCCCTTGAACTTCTGCTACAGACAGAACCCTTTTTATCCTTTTCCTCTGTCCAGGCCTTGGATCTCTGAACTCATTTTTATTGAATTCCTCCTAGCTGTCCCAAGCTTTACCTCCACTTAGAGCAACCACTTTGGATGCTGGAAGCACTCAGAATTTGAGCTTCCCCATCCCACTCCAAGGTGATGTACTCTAAAACTTTCATGAGCAAACTTTTAGTTACCATTAAAACAAAACAAAACAAAAACTGGTACCTATCTACAATTGACCTTTTCCAGACCATCCAAGCAGTTAGCATTCTTGGATTTGATGTGCATTTTTTTCCCTATACAGTTTTAGACATTTTTTTTCCTACTTTTCTGTATGTCAAGATTCCCAGTGCAAACTCTAAAAATCATTTTTATATGGGACCTATCCCCAGTATTGTAAAACATACTGTTTTTAAATGAGAAGAAAAGTATCTTTCACTAGTGCCAAATGTGGTGGATAAACAAAGTCAAGCCTAGGCCAGGAAGGAAGGGATCAGAGAGGGAGGAGAGAAGGGACCCAGACAGGTCCCCAACAGGTACAGTCATCAGTTCATTCTTCATATCATTAGGTACTAAAGAGAGATGTAAACAGCCCAGGATTAAATCTCAATCCTCTATGGCAATTTTTTTCCTAATACATGCCTATCCCAATCTTACACATATTAATATGCAACTGATTCAGCCATTTCTCAAGCCAATAGCACCCCTCCCTGTGAACAGGGACAGCTCCTTGTCCATCCTCCCTGGGCATTCAGTGGTCAGGGGAGTTGTCTGCCCATACATGTAATAGCTAGACTCTCCTGGCTCCTTATTCCACCCAGAGAATCAAAGCCTTCCCTGAGGAGGTGAGTTCTGCTACCAGAAATGCTGGTCCCTCTCTATCATGAAGGAACCTGAGCTCCTGCACAGCCCAATTCACCAGCGTAGCCTCTGAGAGACCCTTTGATATTGAACAGCTGCAGCTTCTAGCCTCCTACCCTCAGCAGGAACTATATCCAATGGAGTTCTGTCTGTATCATAGTGTCCACCCTTTTGGAAAGCAAGGTTCAAGTCTTTGAAAATTTTCCCACTCCCCACTCTTTCACATACAGTAGGCATTAAATAAATATTTACTGCATTTAATTTTAAATAATTAATAACATGTATTTGATTATTCAAATGTTAATTAAAAAAATAAACTCCAGGGTGATATCTTGCCCTTGTTTAATACTCTGCAACATAATCAGGGAATCAGGGAAAGGAAGTTTCCTTAGAGATAGGCAAGAGATATGAGAGATTAATATTCTGTAGAATTATAATTTTAGTGTTGTTAAGGACCACAGGTGTAATAACCTAATTTTTTTTCCTCCAAAATGCAAAACTTCAGGCATTTATGGATTACTGCTATGCCTCAGATACTGGTCAGTTGGTGAGTAAAGGACATAAGAGTTACTGAAATTACAAATACATCCTCTGGCTATTATTGTGTGTGTGTGTGTGTGTGTGTGTGTGTGTGTGTGTTACAGGAGATTTACTACTAAGATACATCTCCAACTTTTTGTTTTTCTTTTTGAGATCAGGTCTCACTAACTTTTGAGGCCAACCTTAAAATTGCAATCCTCCTGCCTCAGCCTCCTGAGTCTCTGGAATTACAGGCATACATCATGGTGCCCAACTATAACTACTATCTTAAAAGCCATTTTCTCCTAAGTCTAGAAAGTTCTGAGCTTTTAAAGTAGAAACTGCAAACACAGGGAATTTAACAAACATCCAAAATGCTGGAACAACTAGGACAGAGTTTGGGTAAAGGATGCTTACTCAGTGCCGCTTTCAACCATCTGGGTGAGGAGAGAGATGCCGTCCAGGTTTATAAACTCCTGGGCAAAGGTGACATCCCGGGAGAGGCTGGCCAAGTCCTTCAGGGCCTCCAGTTTGGCATCCATGCTTGACGACTGGATTCGTTCATGGAGCTGCTGGGCATTTTGAGCCTCAAGGGGGGCAAAAACAAAGGGAACATTGTTCAAAAAGGAAAGCACAACAGCACAAAAAAATAATATCTCCATGAGAAATACAGACACGGAGGACCCAAATATGAACGCACACTGTGGAGTAGGCATCTCAAAGGCAGGTTCCTCCTGCAGAGACTCCACCTCCATTCCCTTGGCAGTGGGCACCAGGATCCTTCTTTTGATAGAACTTGTCATTTCCATTTCAAGGAACAGCAGGGTAAGAGCACCGGGATATTAAAGCAGCAGAAACCAAACAGTGGCGTGGCAGAGAGGAGGGAGAGTCACGGTGGAATGTTTACTTTTTAAGTAAAATTATTATCTGGAAGTGACAAAAAGCTATCTGCTCAGTTAAGCAATCAGACAAATGCAAAGGGCACGCTGGCCCATTCTGTCAGGGCTCTGAGCAACAACTACATACTACATCCTGAAGCTTTGTTAGACACCCAAACCACCTTTCCAGGCTACTGAAAATCTTGCAGAAGGAAGTGCTGCCTGCAAATCCAATTTTCAACAACATGTGTTTCACAGAATTGGCTACCTTCTGTGCAAACTTAAAACAAAATAATCAAGAAAGCCAAATGAACAGCTATGCCTAGGACTGCAGTTCTCCTTGGTAAGGTGTCTGCATTCGGCTTCTACATGCAGGAGAGAAAGGCCGGGGTGGACTCTGTATGATGTGTAGTTTATGTGTCTCATTTGTTCACATTAAGACAAGGTTTCTATGAATTACAGTAGATGGGGTAGAGAGAGAAGATGGGAGGGGAGGGGAGGCGGGATAGTAGGGGATAGGAAAGGTAGCAGAATACAACAGTTACTAATAGGGCATTATGTAAAATTGTGGATGTGTAACCGACGTGATTCTGCAATCTACTTTTGGGGTAAAATTGGGAGTTCATAACCCACTTCAATCTAATGTATGAAATATGATATGTCAAGAGCTTTGTAGTGCTGTGAACAACCAATAAAAAAAAACAAACAAGGTTTCTATACCAATTTTCAGTTGGGACAGGAAATAAGAAAAATGTTTTTTTTTTTTGTAATAGAAATAACTGAACATCTGTTGTAGTTATTTAACCCAAAATTGCAGTGGTTTAAGTACTCTGCCATCTTCACATTCTCCTTCTCGGTCAAGGTTTCTAGACCTACTTTTCAGTTGTGGCAGGAAATAAGAAAAATAATTTTTTCTTAATAGAAATAACTGAACATCTGCTGTCGTTATTTAACTCACAATTGCAGTGGTTCAAGTACTCTGCCATCTTCACATTCAGGTACTCATTTCCTCCTTTGCAACTCTACTGTACTTTAGAGAAAAGGGAAGGTGGGGTCTGCTATGGTTTGGATGCAGTTTGACCCCCAAGGGTCCATGTGCTGGAAGCGTGGTCGCTATCTGGACATGTGAAGAAGTGGTAGGATCTTTAAGAGGTAAAATTTAGGGAAAGGTCATTACTGGCCCCTCCCTGCTCAAGTTCTGGCTTCCTGTCCCACCTTGTGATCTCTCTTTACAGGCTGTCTCCACCATGGCTTCCACCATGAGGTCCTCACCAGAGATGAGCTAACTGCCCATACCATGCCCTTGAACCTCCAGAACTGTGAGCTAAACAAACCTCTTTTCTTTGCAAGTTATCTAGTGTCAGGTATTTCATTATAGTCACAGAAAACAGACTAATACAGGGTATTTGACCCCAATGATGAGCTTTCTTTCCTAAATGAAGAACATTCTATAGACTAGGAGAGGGTTAGACTGCAGAGTAGAAGTAGGGAATCCATAAAGATAATGAGAGCAAAAGGACTCTAACTCAACAGGCCCCACAGAAACAGCCTCACCCTCCTGGACCATTTCCCTTCACTGACACCGGTAAGCAACCCCCACGGAGATAAGTAGAATTACCCAGGACATCAATGTAATTCTTTAGTAACCATGCCAAGGATGAACACATGAACCATCACTTGGTCAGAGATATCCTAGAATCTCCCATTTTATTATAACAAAGACAGATACTTTGCACCAGATATTAGAAAGGAGGAGGAGAATGAGAACACTCCTTACAGATTCACTGATTCCCAAATAACTGCAAAGGCCCTCAAATACTAAATACCAAAATTTGTTAAAGAGACAGTAGAAAGCTGAGTGAGAACTTTATTTACCTTTTAAAACTGTTTAAAGGTACATGATTAGCAAAAATTTTCATGGATATATAGCATTCCAATGGATATTTCTAATGGATATAATAATATTGAACTATAATAGTTGACCCAAGTGTATCACCTCAAATTCCTTGGAAAATATACTTTTTTCCAAGTAGGAAATCTGCATTTACTATACAGATTATGATAAAAAGTACTCAAAAATTCTTTGTTATTATTAAAGATAACTAACAGGGTTTGGTGATGTTAAAACTGTGTGTCTCTGACTGTGTCACCTAGCACTTTTGATGAGCCACTGTTCTAAATACTATCATTAAGTAATTTATTTCATATGCATAACAGTCTTACCACCTAAGTACTTTCATTTTATTAATTTAATAAAGAAAACTGAAGCCACAAAAAGGTTAAGTAACTTGCCCAAGGTCACACAGATGATCAGTATTGAAACTAAGATAAAACCAAGGCTGCTGGACCCTAGAGAACCATGCTCTAAACAGTGGGTTTCAATTGTTGCATGCACAAGAATTACCTGGAAAACTTGTTAAAACACAGATCCCTAGGCCACCTCTGGAGTTTCTTGTTTCTACAGCTTGAGGTGGGGTCCCCCAAATTACATGCTGAACTAACTCCCAGGTGCTGCTGATGCTTCTGGTCCCTAATCATATGCTGAGACCTACTGCTCTAAATCACTGAGGACATTGCATCTTGCAGAGATGATGGAATGTGTATCTCTGATTGTGCCTTCCAATTACCACCTCATTTTCCCCAGCTGGGGCACAATGAGCCCATCAGGATTTACTGTACCAAAAAAAAAAAAAAAAAAGAAAATCTACTTGTTCTTGTAAAGGCTATGCATTTCTCAGAAAGAACTTTTGCTAAGAAAATAATGGGGAAAAAAGTCAATTAGATGGAAGCGAGGCAAATGGAATTTATGAGACCATTCCTTTCTACTTCATTTGTCTGTCTTTGACATGTTACCTACTTCAGAGTAAATAAATAAGTAAAATTTAAAATAAGTGAAAAGATACTACAGAAACTTGAAAAGGACAAATGTCCCAAACAGAGGAATCGAGACCAAACAGTCCCAAATCCCAAGACTGCTAAGGGGTTGCTGCTATGGAATTAAACTATTTTAGCAAGGCAATCACACATCAGAGTAGCAAAGCAATACCCTGCCTTGTTGGCTTCTCAGCCAGGAAGTCACACCAAAACCAGTATTACAGGTCCTCCAAATGGTGCCCAACTGCAACATTTAAAGGTCATAAGATGCAACAGCTTGAAACGTTCCTACGGAGCCTTCTCTCCTCCTGGCCCTCCTGGCCCGGGTGTCTGAGTATAGGTCCTGTTCTCAAGGTGCTGTTTTTAGTGTTCCCAGCAGGGCTTGCTCCTTCCCGTGGTATCATGATCTAGGGAGGCAACTGTTCTTAAAGTTGTAGGATTCCCATGGGGTTTGCTTTGGGGTATGCTTTCCTCTTTGTTTCAGAACCACTGGAGGACACATCATGAATGAGAATCAGGTACCGTGGCCAGCAAGGTGAGTCACCTTGAAAGGCTCCCTGAATTAGGAGCAACTTCCTTCCAACTCTGTCCCTGGCTGCTCTGGAGCCTTGGTGAACTTCTCTCCATCCTCATTTTCCCCATCAGTAGGTACAGGGAGGAACTGTGATGGGATCATGGTTACGGTTTCCTGCAACCCACAGAGTGACAGATTACTTCCCACCTGGGCAAGAGCCCTCATCAAGGAGTCTGCCAAGAGAAAGTGTTCCAGGTAAGTCTCCAACATGGCTTTGAATCAAAATATTATGTCAAGCTACTGGGACGTGGTTAATGTAATATATTTTCAGTTGGAACCAGAACTGATATGTATTCTTTTTGTCTTCTCTAAACAAACAATTGGGGTAGAAATAAATACAAAATAAAAGGGAATAAACGTTTTTATGATTAAAATGTTTGTATCAGCAAGAAAAATTTATATTTTGGACACCAATTATTGTAGACCCCTTTAGATTTAATTTTACTTGGCCTCTACTCAGACAAAATCTTTATATAATTATTGATTTGAAAATAGTGCCAACCCCCCAAATCTCCAAATACTAATTTATCAAATACTTCCAGAAAGCTTACTCTGAGCCTGGCACCGTCCTGTACATTGCAACAGACAAGACAATCAAATTTCTCGACTTCCTGGGGCTGACCCATTTTCCGGTGGGAGATGAACAATTTTTTTTTTAAATTAGGAATAAAAAATCAATACAATATTGCTAAGTTTCATTGCAAAAATCTAAAATGGAGGGACATGATAGAAAGTGACTGGTGGCTTCTGTAGATGGGGTGGTTTTCAGGGTCAAGCTATCTAAGGAAGTAGCATTCATGCAATGATCTGAGGAACAGAGAGCCAAACACACTGGGGAGGGGGAAGTATCCTGGGATGTAGCAATGATTAGCACAGAAATCTCTTTAGGTAACATAAGCCTGGCATGTCTGGAGGGACAGAGGACCAGTGTGTGTGGAGTTAGTGGGCAAGGAGCAGAGAAGAGGAAGAAAGGATGGAGAAAAGATAAGGAAGATGTGCTAGGGTGTTCTGGAGCATGCAAAGATAGGGGAGTTCTGGTTGGTGATGTGTTTCCCTTCAGTGATGCATTTAAACATCTGCAACAGAGACCTGGAGCACTGAGTGGGAGCACCTAAAACGGCATTTATATGCACACCAGAAGCCCTGTTTCAATAGAATAATGGTGAAACACTCAGGACACAGGATGAAATAAATGGAATTAAAAATCAAACTTTCAGAGAATGTAAGACACCATAGGTGCAGCCTCATGACAGAATAATGG